ATCACGATAAATAAAAAAAAATAACAACTTTCTCAATCCTATCCAATTTCTGAGCAATTTGCCTAAATTTCAAAAGTTGGTCTTTTATGGCCGAAATTTTACCTTTTGCAGGGTCAGAATGAAAAAAATCTACATGGTACATCAAAGACACAATTTTTTCTTTATTTTAGGACCAATTATATCCAAGTTCTCTGGCCTACTAAGTTGCATAATTGGTTTTTATTGATTTGGTTTTATAATTATGCAACATTAAAATAACGGAAAACTTCCAGAAATGCAACAACAATAATCTCAAAATTATTTTTTTGTATATGTATAAATAGTAAATGCAAAAATGTATTATTTGTACAAATTTTTTGTAGATCCATTCAATACTTGAAGAGAAATTCGAAAAATATATTTGTTCTTATAATTTTGAAACACACCTTATGTGTATACATGTGTTCCAAATTGATATGGCTTGAACCTGTAAAGATGCAGTCGTACAATAGGATGTCCCGTGGACAACTTTTTTTTTTTTTTTTTTGAAAAGGATCTCAGTTCACATCCTGTGATCAAAATTCTTCATTTCAGTACAATATGTTAAAAAAAATCCTGCAATCTTTTCGAAATGGGTCTCAAAAATTCTGTAACTTTTACGCGTATCGTGGGAATTGAATTTCACCAAAGATTTTTATTTGATTGATATAATTTCAAGTAATTTTCACTAATATTTTTTTAATTTTTAATCTATACCCAGTAAAAATTTTCATTACCATGTAAGGGGTTAAAATGCCAAAATTTAATTACACAATAGCATTTTAAATCATTATTTTAACACGGTGATGTCATTGGTACTTACCACAAACGATTACAAGTAAGTAGAAAAACTAGTCGTTGTAAATGGCGTGATAAAACGCATACAGCTTCTATATCTTCACTAGCAAGATGACTAATGAATTAGAAAGTATTTATATAACACATTGTTAGTAAGACCTTATTAGACTACTGCTATGTAATCCAGACGATATGTAGTAATCATTAAAAAGTATGTTGTTAGGTAAGTAATTACAATTGAAAGCCATTACCCAGTTTTTGCTGGGTAAGTATATTTTTCAAAGTGATTTTAAGTCAATGCAATAGAATCCAATGCTAAATGATTAGCTGTTCTAATTAACTACAATAAAATAGAAATGTTATTTTCACTCTTATCTCCACATACCATTAAGAAAACTTTTCCAAAATGATTGATATCAAATTAAAATGAACCCACAAAACAGTTTGAACTACCAAAGCTAAAACAGACAATATTTATTACTCTAAAAAGCCACTTTCATTTACACACTACAACGTGAAGTGGAAAAAAGCTCCATTTCCATTATGATTTATAAACTAATTAATTATTAACACCCAGGACATAAATAAAAATTATTACAGCTTTTGCTGTATATTATTTCCCGCTGTATTGCCACCACTAATAAATATTTCAAAATAAAAATCCCCCTGTTGTCAACATCATTAATTTTATTACTAAAACTAAAAATATGACTGTGAACTCCAAAGAGACTAAGAGATGTCATTGTCTTTATTGTATACATAGAAATATTTTTTATAATTTTTTTTCTTTTTTTTTAATATTTATCGGGAGTCATATAAGTTTATTGTCCTTAGACATTTTGTTTTGATAATTGTTTAATTACTTTTGTTACTCTCTGTGTATAAGGATGTATTCCCTGCAGTATTGGCAGTTATACATGTTGTCCACATTTTTACAAATGTTGAACTACTGGGTTGTTACTAATTTATATATGGGGTATTTGAGACTTATGTACATACATATACATATATGTACTCTTCGTAGAATTAAAGCAAGCGAAAGTCATTCATTACTTTATTGTCCTTAAGTAATCTAAAAAAACGTCATTTGATAATTTATTTCTTTAATATGTTTTACAAAGCAATTATTTAGACAAATAGAATAATCTGGTTTAAATTATCGAAGGAAGTGTGATTTTAATCTGAGAAGAGTAGAAAGGCTATATGCTTCCTCCTAGAGCCAGAACAAGATCAAAACTATTAGTCATATTTTAAGTAGCTTAATATGACGGCCAACTGTAGTTGGTAGATACATAAATCCACTAGTTGATAACAGCCGCTCCGAACTTCAGGGTTTTTACTTCTGACTCGATGACTCTATATGTGCCCTTTGTTTCTCTCTTAAGTTCAGTGACTAATAATTTATATCTATATTTTATATTTTTTTTTTTTTGTTCAGTTCATTTCTTTCTTTGTGTTTTTTCCATTTTACTATTGTTTATTTAGGAGGTTTGTTTTCGATAAACTTAATGCCATTTTACGATTATAATTTATATATTTTAATGCATTTATATTAGGTTGTTCTCTGTCTATATATGACAGTACGTATGTGAGTAGGTACCGATAATTTGTTGAACTTTGTAAATAAAAAATGTATTTGTAAAATACAAAGTTTCCAGTTCACAAATACAATGGTATTTTGTCCACCTTAATCTGTGCTAATCGGCTTGATTATTCTGGGGCTCATACAGTTCATTTCGAAATCGGATAATACTATTTAGCATAAATTTAATAAATGAGTAGGTGGTTAGGTCAATGAGGCAGTCAACATACAATTCGAGTCAATGAATTCCATGATGATAATCAAATCATCCCAAGGGACTAACAAACGATTATATCTTATTGATGTCACTTGTGGACAGATCGCGTTATGCGGTGAAGTGTCCTAATACCCGACAGAACAGGGAAAATTTTTCATTGGTCTCTTCCTCGCCCTTGTTGTGATCACGTCTGCAGTAGTTGTATTGAAGATTTGGTCTCCTAACATAAGCATGTGCCCTGTCAAGTTGGCTAGCAGCAATCGAAGCCCTCTTTTTCAAAACCCCAAAAAGTTCTACAACCATTTAGTCATAAAATGGTCTGGTTCGTGCAAATTTATAAATTTCTCAATGTATTTAATAATTGTGTAGATATCGCCTGTATGTAGGTAGGAGCCGATTTTTGCTAGGAAACTCGGAACAGGAACTGTTCCCAGGGAGAGTTCCTGGATCTAGTACTAGGAGAAGTTGTAGTTGAATGGTTCACCATTTCGTTAAGATACTCATACATGGAAACGGTATTTGGACTCTTCGTTCTAGCTGACTTAAAACTCTGTGTAAATCGTGGTAATAAATGCTGAAAAGATCAATCCATAGTGAACACGATTTTAAGATTCCACAGCCGAATATAATATTCTTACTTGTTACTCTGAATACGTTACATATTCTGCACATCCGGGATTCAGTCCCGAACCATTTGTTTAACCTAACATTTAGGGTAACCAGCTATTTTAACATGGACACGTCCTACGAGGAAGTCAATTGTGTCCTTGTAGACAGTATCGAGGTAATATAAAACAAGTTTCTCGTTTACCTAGGCTATAGTAAAGTGACGACTGTCTTTGCTCTCGTTTTTGAATAGAGCCTTTTTATACCCTACACCACTTTAGTGGGGAGGGTATATTGGGTTTGTGCTGATGTTTGTAACGTACAATAATATTAGTCCTATACCCACCTTAAAGTATACCAATCGGCTAAGAATCATTTTCTAAATCGATTTAGCTATGTCCGTCCGTCTGTCTGTCCGTCTGTCTGTCTGTCTGTCTGTCTGTCTGTCCGTCTATGTAAACCTTTTAATCAATCTACAGGTCGCAATTTTGAAGATAATTCAATAAAATTTGGTACATGATCTTCTATTGTCGCAGGGACAAAGCTTATTGAAAATGGTTAAGATCAGTTTAGTATTTCACCTAGCCCCCATACAACTGATGCCCCAAATAGGGCTTGTAAACCTTGTAATCAAACTACAGGTCGCAATTTTGAAGATAATTCAATGAAATTTGGCACATGATCTTCTATGGTACAGGAGACAAAGCCTATTGAAAATGGTTAATATCGGTCCGTTATTTCACCTAGCCCCTATACAACTGAACCCCCGAATAGGGCTCGTAAACATTGTAATCAAGCTACAGGTCTCAATTTTAAAGATAATTCAATGAAATTTGGCGCATGAGCTTCTATGGTACCGGAGATGAAGCCTATTGAAAATAGTTAACATCGGTCCGTTATTTCACCTAGGCCCCATACAACTGAACCCGCCGAATAGGGCTTTTAAGTTCATAATTATGTTTAATATGCTCGTATCGAGAGAAAAATAATAAATTAAATTTTTCCCGTAATCGGCCTTTTTTAGACCCATTTCACCCGTTTGGGCTGATGTTTGTAACGCACAAAAATATTGGTTCTAAACCCAACTTAAAGTATAGCGATCGACTTAGACTCGCTCTCTGAGTCGATTAAGTCATTTCCGTCCGTCTGTCCGGCTGGCTGGCTATCCATGTAAACCTTGTGCATGTAAACCTTGTGTGAAAAATAATTCATTTTTAAAATATATTCTTGGTGTAGGGTATCATATGGTCGGCCATGTCCGACTATACTTTCCTACTTGTTTGTTTCTCTCGTGTTCATTACATTAAAACGATTTGATTGTAAAATATTCCTATATGAGATTCTTAAAATAAGCTGTTCCTAGGCACACAATAATGTACAGACATATAAATGTATGTTTACTTATTACTGGTGTAGGGTATTATGTGATTCTAACTATTTTTTATTTGTTTGTATTTGTATATTAATGTGTGAATTGCATTTAGTCTTTACGGTACTGATAACTATTGAATTTAATATCTCGCCTTAAGGGAATATTTGATATTCTGCATTTTGTTTGCACATATTTTCTATATTGGCTATAAACTATAAACAAATTAATAATTTTATAGGCTAACGGGTAAAATGAAACGGAGAAGAAAAATCTCGCATGGCTAGACAGGCTCATTAAACAGTTTACGCCTTGAGGCTTTAATAATCTACATACACACATATAAAATATATTCAAATTTAAGATTTACTTTCACTAATACGCAATATATATGTCTGATATAATTTCAGGAAGCTTATCGACGCTGGGTTTGCAGTACATTGGTGCCGTATTTTGCTGAGACCAGCGATATTATGAAACCACCAGAAATCTTAACCACCACTTTAGAAAGTACCAGTGTGGGTAGTGCTAGTAGCAGTGGGGTTAATAGTCCAAACCAGTCGTATAAATTACATTCATTAAACAACAGCAACAGCAGCAGTAGCAGCAACAATACCACCATGGCCTCAAACATGACTACCTCTCATACCGCAACAACATCAGCAAACAGCAGCAGCAGCAGCAAAATTAATAACAATGAAACAGATATGTCATCTGCAATGCCAACAACAAAACAAGCAACATCGAATTTTATTACAAACAGCAACAATAATAAACATGACATGCAATATAATGCCAATAATTATCAGCAGCAACATTTCTACATGCAACAGCAGCAGCAACAACATCATGTTAAAAGAAGAAATATACAAAAACAACAGCATGAGCATGAGCAGCAACAAAAACACCAACATTTTACCAATCATATATTGATTGATAACAGCAACAACAGTAGCATGGTCAGCAACAGCAACAACCACAATAAAATTAATGACATTCCTTACAAAACGATTTTAATTCACCATAAAAATCAACAACAACAACAACATCAACTGCATCCCTCTACCATTTCCCAGGCATTAATATTTAATGACATTATCACCCTCAATCCAAGGACTACAAGTCCAAGATATCCTTCAAGAACCACTACTGCACGCCTTCAAAGCTTTAATGCAACTAATGAGGCAGCATTTGGACTTAACTTTCATCACAAATCAACGAATAAAAGACGAAAACGCAGTGATAATTCCACATCAACAACAACTGCAATATTTGCTGATGTTGTTGTTAACAGACCATCCATGTCATCAACGCCATCGTTGTCTTCATCATATGCATCATCATCGTCATCATCATCAACGGTGATGCATCAAGTGCAGAGACAAAAGCAACAACAACAACAACAATCTTTTAATTTCATATCGACTGCCAACAATGAGGATTCTTTTCATGCCAAGAATCCAGTGATAACCAAATTATTAAAAAGGTAAATTATTTGTGAAAAATTTAATACAGATTACATACTTATAGAGGTGTTGAAAATATATACATACGTACATAGGTAACGTATGTATATATAACAATGTACATACACATGTATGAATTTAACTAACCATACCCCGTGCTATCAATTTTATATAGTTTTGCTCGTAATCCAGCGTGTTCACTCAGAATACGTACCATCTAGACCATAGACTAGACTATAGACTAGACTATAGACTAGACTATAGACTAGACTATAGACTAGACTATAGACTAGACTATAGACTAGACTATAGACTAGACTATAGACTAGACTATAGACTAGACTATAGACTAGACTATAGACTAGACTATAGACTAGACTATAGACTAGACTATAGACTAGACTATAGACTAGACTATAGACTAGACTATAGACTAGACTATAGACTAGACTATAGACTAGACTATAGACTAGACTATAGACTAGACTATAGACTAGACTATAGACTAGACTATAGACTAGACTATAGACTAGACTATAGACTAGACTATAGACTAGACTATAGACTAGACTATAGACTAGACTATAGACTAGACTATAGACTAGACTATAGACTAGACTATAGACTAGACTATAGACTAGACTATAGACTAGACTATAGACTAGACTATAGACTAGACTATAGACTAGACTATAGACTAGACTATAGACTAGACTATAGACTAGACTATAGACTAGACTATAGACTAGACTATAGACTAGACTATAGACTAGACTATAGACTAGACTATAGACTAGACTATAGACTAGACTATAGACTAGACTATAGACTAGACTATAGACTAGACTATAGACTAGACTATAGACTAGACTATAGACTAGACTATAGACTAGACTATAGACTAGACTATAGACTATAGACTAGACTATAGACTAGACTATAGACTAGACTATAGACTAGACTATAGACTAGACTATAGACTAGACTATAGACTAGACTATAGACTAGACTATAGACCTAGACTATAGACTAGACTATAGACTAGACTATAGACTAGACTATAGACTAGACTATAGACTAGACTATAGACTAGACTATAGACTAGACTATAGACTAGACTATAGACTAGACTATAGACTAGACTATAGACTAGACTATAGACTACTAGGACTAGACTAGACTAGACTATAGACTAGACTATAGACTACTATAGACTAGACTATAGACTAGACTATAGACTAGACTATAGACTAGACTATAGACTAGACTAGACTAGACTAGACTATAGACTAGACTATAGACTAACTATAGACTAGACTATAGACTAGACTATAGACTAGACTATAGACTAGACTATAGACTAGACTATAGACTAGACTAAGACTAGACTTAGACTAGCTAGACTATAGACTAGACTATAGACTAGGACTATAGACTAGACTATAGGACTAGACTATAGACTAGACTATAGACTAGGCACTATAGACTAGACTAGTAGACTAGACTATAGACTCAGACCTAATAGACTAGACTATAGACTAGACTATAGACTAGGACTATAGACTAGACTATAGGACTAGACTATAGACTAGACTATAGACTAGACTATAGCCTAGACTATAGACTAGACTATAGAACTAGACTATACACTAGACTATAGACTAGACTATAGACTAGACTATCAGACTAGACTATAGCACTAGACTATAGACTAGACTATAGACTAGGACTAGTAGACTAGACTATAGACTAGACTATAGACTAGACTATAGACTAGACTATAGACTAGACTATAGACTAGACTATAGACTAGACTATAGGACTAGGACTATCGACTAGGACTATAGACTAGGACTATAGACTAGACTATAGACAGACTATAGACTGAATAGACTAGGACCACCCATAGGCCTAGATATAGACTAGACTATAGACTAGACTATAGACTAGACTATAGACTAGGACTATAGACTAGACTATAGACTAGACTATAGACTAGACTAGACTATAGACTAGACTATAGACTAGACTATAGACTAGACTATAGACTAGACTATAGACTAGACTAGACCATCTCCTAATTTAATTTCCTAATGTTATCTTGCTAATACTTTATCCAACTTTCAGATCAAAACGTAAAGAATTTGAATTTCGTAAACGACGAAGAATACGACCCTGCCTAAGTGTGTGCCAAACAGTAGAGCAAAAATGTCCATATCTTCTACCAGCCGATCGAGCTCCCTCGATGCCAACACAATACGCCGGTGAACCAACATTCTTATGTTTAGGTATGATTTAAATGAAACACTAATTTTTAGCTTTAATGTAAAATTTTTTTGTTTTTTTTTTAATAAAATAATTACAGACTATAATATAGCAGAGACCAAAGAACAATTGGAAAAGGCCAGCCATGGACCCAATGACTGCTGCTATACGTACTGCAGCAATTCAGGCGATGGCATTTGCACGTACTGCAACGATATGTGGGATAAAACAGAAATCGAAAAAGAAGTCGATATCCTAACGGAAGAAAGAGAAACGAAAGTATTTAATATAACAATGAAGACAAAAGGGCGAGGACAAAGTACCGCTAATATAAGAGTAGAAACTAAGATACAACAAAAAATGGGTGAAGAAAAGAATGGCCTTAAAATGTCCACCGTTGCCATAGCGGTGCGTAATGATACAGCATTCGAGAATGCGACACTTTTAGCCGAGCGGCTACAATACTATGCCTTCTGTGACGGAGTCTTTTACTATGACGATGATGCCGACGATATGCCCGAATATCCTAATTCGGAAAATTGCCGACAATTGCCAGCAGTACAAAGTCGCTGCGACATACCCTACTATGCCAGCAATTATATATCATCGGCCGATATGTTGGGATCGTATCGCAAACATAACGAAGCTCAAAAGCTTTTAATCTGGCTGAGTACACTGCTGTGTCTGTGGTCCTGTTATAGTGCTCGATCTATGAGAATGAGACGTTATAATGAGGACAAGAAACAGCAACAAAGTGAGCAAGAACTAACACATCAAAAGCAACAACAACTACACAAGACAACTAATACTGCCTATAAGGGGGGAAATATGTGCCAGAGTTGCCAAACTCGCGAAATTATGCAAAATGAGGGAAACTGTGAAAAAATCATTAAATTATGGTACGATGATAGAGAATGTAGAATTATTATAATCTATTGGTTAAAATTCGGAACCGTAACGAAAACAACAGCAACACAACACAAAAAATCCTTAAGAACAAAATATTTACTAAAAAGAAATTTTCGAAAAATTCTACGTAGTACGAGTGTTAAGTTGAATTTGAAAATTTTAGAAATTCCCTCAACGATTTTGTTAATAAATTATAAAGAAATTTTATTACTTTTATTTAAGAAAAGGCAAAAACTAAGAAAACGAAAAATGAAAAGTTTTCCAGCAACAGCAACAACAACGGCACGACGACGAATAGTTAATGGAAAATGTTGGCCCTTGATAAGGGATTTAAAAAGATTCAAAAATATGAAATCGAAACCGAAAAAATGTAGTTTTAAATATAAAAACCATTATTATGATTATTATAATTATTATTACTGTAGTTGTAGTCAAATATTTAGTTGTAGTTGTAATAAAAATATTATTAATAATTATTATAATAATAATATTAAATATATGAAAAAGAAATTTAAATATAATTTTAGTACTTGTAATTTTAAAAATAATACTAATAATAATAATAATTACAACAAAAACCACAAGAACAACAACAACAACAAAATGATGATAATGAAAATTAATTATAAGAAAGTTTCTATAATTAAATTTAATACTACTACAACAACAACTCATATATTTATAATAAATTCTTATAATAATAACAACAACAACATCAGTAACAGCAACAACAACAACAAAATAAATTATTATAATATTATAGCTATTATAATAATAAGTTATAATATTTATAATAATAAAAATTCCAACAACAAACAACAAATCTTTAATAGTTTTTATTCAATTTCAAATAATAGTCATTATCATCAAAAACAACAACAACAACAACAACATCATCATTATTATTATAATTATAACGATTATTATTATTATAATAATTATAATTATATTAATTTTAAACTTAAGCCCAACATCAACAACAACAACATAATGATCAATAACAACACTGTTACATTAAAAACCTTAACATTAACAACAACATCATCATCATTATCATCATCATCAAGTCAAATTTTAAAGACAATTATGATTTACAAAATCTTGCAAACGATGTTGTTTATAATGCATATGTTAATAATGCCGTTATTGTTTAAATCATTTTTGAAAATGAAATACAATAATAATCATCATATGAAAAATATTAATTCTAATCTTAGTCTTAGTCCAAATACTAGTTATAATAGTAAAAAAACAAATTATCGTTATTTTTATTATTATAATTTCAATATTAACGATTGGTGGCAACGGAGACGATGGTGGTGCCGGCAACGACGACGACGACAACATCTAACATCGATAACGTCTCACTATATGCTGGAGAAGCATAATCATCATTTAGTCACCGAGTCCTTGTTGCTGAGCGTGGTGATCGACGCCAGCAGTCAAGCGAATTTTGTTCAATATATTTTATTATAGTGGTTTGTTTAATTGTGGATTTTCTTTTAAAATAAGTTTAAATAATTTTTTAATAATATTTTTTTTTATAATTTATTAAGTTATTAGTTTTATTTTTATTAAGTATAAATTATAAATTTCGTACTTTAAAATCTTTAATTTTAGATTAAGGAGTACTATTGGTCCAACTATTTAGCTGTTTTGAATCACTTTGCTCAAGAATTAGTCTGTAGACTAATATTTGGACTTGGAAATAGACTGATCTGCGGACTATTAAATCGACTAGTGTATAGGCTTGATAATAGACTAGCCTGTTGACTTATCTATTGATAAGTCTGTGGACGTGACTATTGAGTCTGTGAACTGGACAATATACAAGTCCGTTGAATTATCTATTGATATGTATCTGTTTATTAACAAGACATTTGACAAGTTAGTGGATTAGTCTATGGAATTGTTTATGGACTAGTCTATTGACTAGTATTTGAACTAGTCTATTGACTAATCGGTAGTAGAAACACTATTATATTGATTTTGTGCTCTAATAAACATACTAGTCTGTTAACTTATCTATTAATTTGTCATTGGACCATAGTATTTATTAGTATGTGGACTTATCTATTGACAAATTTATTGACTTGTCTATGGAATAGACTATTGACTTGTCTATCGACTAGTCTATGGTCCTGTCAATTACTAAGTCTGTAGACTCTACTATTGATTAGTTTGTGTACTCTGCTATTGACTAGTCGGTAAACTAACAAATAGGCTGTTATGTGGACTAGTTATGCCACTGGTATGTAGATTAGTAAATCGAATAGACTTGTCTATCGACTAGTCTATATTAACTAATAAGTCTGTGGACTCTGATTAGTTTGTGTACTCTGCTAACATATAGACTGTTACGTGGACTAGTTATTCCACTGATATGTTGATTAGCAAATCCAATATGTGTTGAATAGTCTGTAGACTTGCCTAGTATATTGAGTAGTGTCTAGACTAGTCTAGGATAGTATAAAGACTAATCTATTGAACAGTTGGTGGACTGATCTATAGACTAGTCTGTGAACTAATCTATTGGCTAGTCTGTTGACTATATTATTGAGTAGTCTGTGGCCTATTTTACCGATAAGGCCAGTGACAAATCTCTGGACTAGACTTTTAATCTATTGAGTATTGACTAGTCTTTGGACTAGTTTATTGACTAATCCGTGCACTTGTCCATTGACTAATCTGTACTCTTGTCTATTGAGTATTCTGAGGACTAGTCTATTGAGTAGTCTATGGACTAGTCTATTGGATAGTTTATGGACTAATCTATTGACTAGTCTGTTAACTATACTATTCACTAGTCCAGTGACTAGTCATTTATGTAGTCTATATTTATTCCGATGTACATATTCCGATCTTAATCTGTTGACTAGTCTGTTTTCTAATCTGTACAGTTGTCTATTTACTATTCTAAATACTAGTCTATTGAATAGTCTATGGACTTGTCTATATGATAGTCTATGGACTGGACTATATGATAGTCTGTGGACTAGTTTATAAGACCAATCTGTGGACTTGACTATAGATTAGTATGTGGACTGTAATATTGACTGGGCCAATGACTAGTCTTTTATCTAGCCTATATATATTCCGATCTCTTCTATTCTTGGTCAATTAACTACTGACTAGTCTGAGTCTGATTTTTCAAATGTTAATTTCTAGTCTATGGACTTGTCTGTATGATAGTCTATGGACTAGTCTATAAGATAGTCTATGAACTAGTCTATTAACCAATCTGTAGACTTGTCTATAGATTAGTCAGTGAACTGTACTATTGACTAGGCCAATGACTAGTCTTTTATCTAGTCTATATATATATATATTTCGATCTATTCTATTCTTAGTCTATTGACTAGTCTGTGGATTTTTAAAAAAATTTCTTAACATTTTTAAGGACTTATAGGGAAAGCCAGGCAATTGAATTGGACTATATTTTCCAGAACCTCTTATTGATTATCAAGTAAGCGGAGCTATTGCTGATGCCAAACCAAAACTTTTTGGTTTAGCTTTTATTGCTTGATCTTATTAGTGATCTGTGAAGAACTTCGAACTATAATTTTACTTATAAATTTGTTCATTATTCCATATTTCTTCAACTTTTTCAAAACGGAATCTACTGCGTTTTAAGCGGTTAATACTTTTACGATGATTTGTGTTTCCTTTATTGCTTTCCAGCAGATCTGCTGCCTAGCCGAACTGGCTTACCTTGGCCACCGATTGCCCAGTTGACTAGCTTGCGCTAAGAGTAAGTCAATCGTCACTCCATAGATTACTAAAAGACAGTCAGAAAACTAGCATAAAGAAATCTGTGCAGGGCAATGACATTTTCTCCGTAAGTTTGTTCTTAAGTGTCTACTCTCTAGATTACTTAGGGACTGTAAAGTGATGTTTGTCACCGCTCTCGCTTACAAAGGGCTCACTAAATTGACGATTGTTTTACACTCGTTTATAAAGACTATATTCGTGTGGAACGACGAATTTGAGCCAACCAAGTGGTCAGACGTTAGTGGAAATAGCTAACTTTTTAGGATGCTTTGACTCTTTCTTGAACTGCTAGGTTGCACGCCTAGTACAGCACAACTTCAGCTCAATACTTATACGTTTAAGAAAACTTGAAAATTCTTTTTTAACTACCATATTCCCACGACACAATATTTCACAATACGCAAAATTTAACCTTTTAACAATTTTTGTAAAATTTTTTAAAGAAACGAAACAAATATTCCGAGAGATATCCAAATAAAATGCTATTAAAATGAATTATGAATGCGTCGTGGGAACAGAGCAATTTGCAATAGTGAGAACATAACCTTAACTGTCAGTTGCAGTTGTATGCAAAATTATTATTGTGTAACGATTTAAGTTATTTATCATGCTTTTAAATGTTCAATAAAGACTTTTAAAATATTTTTTTTTTATTATAATATTTAATTTTAAAATTAATTTAATATTTTGCCAAAAATTCAATAACTCAAACAAAAGGTATTTAAACAAATTAAAACAAAAAATCACAAAATTAAAATTCCGTTAAATAAAACATCAATGTAAAATAATATAAAATTACAACAAAAAACATATTTTATTACAAACAAAAAAAATCCCAAAAAACAAATATATTACAATTAAATTTAATAATAAAAAAATAAATAAAAACAAAAGATAAGTTCATTTATAAAACCAAAAAACTGCCAAAAAATAATTAAATATTTATAGAGAAATAAATGAAAACACAAAAAAAATGAATTATAAAAAAATATATAAAATAATTATATATTAATTATTATTAAAATAATAATAAAAGTACCTATAATTTCTTATAGGTTTAGCTTGTAAAACAAGAAAGACATTAAACAAATATTAATGAGAAAAAAATAAATGTCTTATTAAAATAAACCAAAAAAAAACTTGTTAAAAATTAACGAATTGTGTCATAAAATTTAAAAAAATAATAATAAATTAAACAAAATAGGAAGAAAAAAAAACTAAAACACAAAACAAATCTTGTATCAGCCACCTTTTTAATAAATTTAAATACAAAAACAAAATCTTTACAAAATAGAGTTTTCAACTTAAAAAAAAAAATAATAAAAATACAAATAAATTAATTAAAGACAAGAAAATATAACAGCAAACATTTTCCCCCCTTTAAAAACTAAAACAAAAACAAATATTAAAATTTATTACATTTAACAACAACAACAAAAAAACTAATTTATTTAAATTTAAATTCTATAGTTTTATTATTTATTAATTAATTTATTTATTTTATCTTTTTTTGAAAAAGAAAAAATAAAGCGCACAGTAATCTTAAATAACAAAAAAAATTAAAAAAAATAATTAATTTAAGTTACTTAAATAAAACAAAAAAAAATGAAGGAAAAATTAAATTTATAATAGAATTTAAACAGTAAACAAAAACAAACATAATAATAGTATACATTTTTGATAAATAAACAAAATCCTAAATAATAATTTGAAATAAATGCCCCCCTTCCCTCTAGAAAAAAAAGATCTTGTTAATACCATTAAAACCAATAAAATTGATTATAAATACTAAACTTATATATAAAATAAATTAATTAAAAAAATAATTAAATAAATAAAAATTATATACATACATACATATAAATAAATTAGATTCTTGTACATTTTCTCAAATTGTCATTTGAAAATAATAAAATAAATAAATATTTATTAAAATGTTATCAAAATACAAAAAACCAAAAAAAAAAAAAGAATCTTATGAGTTTCCTCAATTGATCAAGTCGTTTCTTTTCGGTTTAATTCTCCCGCAAATTGTTATTCATGCCACAGATTTAGTTTATTATAATTAACGCAATGAGTCAAGTTTATTTCCCGGAGATGAATCTGTTCAGGAAATAGTTCATATATAACTGATATAGTTTCGTTATAATTTAAGTGAAAACTTCTAAAATTCAGTTCAGTCTGAAATTATATAAAATGTTAAGTTAAATGATCGGCTTCTATGGGTTAGAGGACGATGCTACACTATTTCCAATTGTTTTTCAAAATATGTCCCATTCTGAATTATTTCGGAATAGTTCTAACACCCCTTTATTAGAAATTTTAAACTTTTTGTATAACTTTACGAACTAATAGAGAATTAGTTCTGTGATTGGCACCCTGGCGCTAGGTTTTTCATCAAGCTTATTGAACCTTTTGTCAAAAATTTTACTTATTGAAACATTTTAATTCTTTTAAATAACGTTCTTAAGTTTATTGAACGTTTTATCAAAACGTTTATTATTAAAAGCTTTAAAAAATTTATTTATTAAAAGCTTTAAATGCTTTTAAATAAAGTTTTTAAGCTTATTGAACGTTTTATCAAAAAGTTTCTTATTAAAAGCTTTTTCATCCAGTTTATTAAACTTTTTTTTCAAAAAGTTTATTTAAAAAGCTTTTTCATGAAAATCTTTTTAATGAAATCTTATTAAAAACTTTTTTATAAAGGTTTACTAAAAGCTTTTTATAATATTTTTTAAAAGCTTTTGATAAATTAAAAAGTTCTTAATGAAAGCTTATTAATAGCTAAAAAAAACAAACTTTCAATGGAAGCTTATTTAAATCGCTTTAATGAATAGTAATTATAAGCTTCAAAATATAAAGAGCATAAAAAGCTAAAAT